AAGTAACTGTTTACAAGTTGCTAGTTGTAAATTGCCTTTTGGAAAATAAAATTAGCCCAAAAGGTCGACTAGTAACAGCATGTAAAATATTTAAAATATTCTCTTTTATGCATTTCTATATTTAAATTTACTTCTTCTATAAGTTCTTCACGTTCTTCATTGAAGAGTGTATAGTTTCTTCCATTTTGCTTTAAATAAAACGCGTCTAAAAAAATTTTTTATTAAAAAAATCATTTTTCTTGGTAATATAGATTGATAGCTGATCGTTTCGTGGTATAAAAAAATCACGTGATATAAGTTAATCAACCGTACAAGCCACAAACTTTAGTACCATTTTTGATGTGTGGCTCTACTTAGCCACACATTAATTGATACATCAACGCCACCAACATGACACACTGTAAAAATTTTTTATCTTCTTTTATATATATTCTTTTCAAAAATGAACCATACATATAAACAGCTCTCGAATTTAGTTATCCATTTATAAATCAAACTGTATACTTTCCCTTGTTTTTAATAGTTTCAATCATTTTTAATAATTTCAAATAATTTTTTAATAGTGTTAATGATATAATACTTGAATTAAAAAATGCCTACTTCCAAACTGAACCTTTTAACTTTCCACCACCATTCTTCAAAACATCTTAAACTCGTCACTTCTCAGTCTTCCAGCTGGTCTTCTCTTTCTTCTTTCTCCTTTTCTTCATTAATTTGTTTTACTTGTTTCGAAGGCCTATTTTTTACTTCCTCAAGTAAACACTTTAAACTTACTACAAACGCGTGGTATCGAACCCATAGTTATCACTCCCCTTTTGATATTTGGCTAATATTACTGTGGGTTGTAATATTAACTCAAACCATTGGATACTTTGAATTCTTTTTAAAGTTCATTGTAGATGATGAAAAATATCGAGAACAAGAATTTTTTAAAGAAGAAAATGATATATATAATATACACCGACGAAAGTCTATCTGGAGTTTTCTAGGATTTTTGTTTACTTTTATTGCAATCATTAGTAGTTTAAAAATTTCTTTTACCGATACAGCGGATAAAAGGGTAATGAAGGATTATAAGGAAAGAGATATGACATACGCGAGGACGAAAGGAATACCTGTTGTTGTTGATGGTTGGTGTTGGATTTGTAGATCAAATGTGTATGTAATTAGTTCAATCAATTTTCCCTCACAATTTCTCTTGCATTTTTTGTTAAATCCATTTTTTCTTCAAAATTTTAAAACTTCAAAGAGGATCGGGAACAAGACATTGTAAATATTGTAATAAGGTAATTACATTTATATGTGCATATTATATTATATTCATATTATATATTATATTCGTATTATATATATTCATATTATATTCATATTACATTCAATATTCATATTCAATTCAATATTCATACATTCAATATTAATATTCAAATATAACAAAATTTACGCGTCAAAATCTTTTTTAATAGTGCGTACAAGGTTTTGATCATCATTGTCGATGGTTGAATTGTTGTATTGCAGAATCTAATTATAGGTATATATATTTTTAAAATGAATTGACAAAAATTGAATATAATTTAATAGATAAATTTATTCCTCTTTCATAGAACATTTATAACTTTTATAGTATCCTCTCTTGTCGCTTCCATCATGAATTTTTGGCTGGCAATATGTGCAATTAATGTATACTTTGATTCAGAAACAAATTACGAAATGAACTGTATATATTATTATTTTAATTAATATTCTATTATGATGATAATTTTATTGTTATAATAATAATAATAATAATAATAATAATAAGATTAAAAATTTATTTATTTATTTATTTATTATTATAGTGCACAAAATATTTTCACCTTTAATTCCAAATATTATAATTATTGGATTAATCATAAATATAATATTAATATTTATTAGTTTAGGAATGATCATATTTTTGGGTTATTTGCTATTTTTTCATGCTAGATTATGTAAGTAATATGAAATAATATGAAATTTTCAAATTATTGTCAAAGAAATTTTTCTATAAAAACAAAAAATTAATTAATTATAACATTTTTAATTAATAGATCTAATGGACATGACAACAATAGAATATATGAATCATCAACAACAAAGAAGATATTATAGTGATCATTATGAAGATGAAGAGGATGAAAATCCCTGGAGGAGACCATATTATCCTAACCCATGGAGAAGAAGATTTATGGGAATAATTAAAATGTTGTATAAGGTAATTTAATGATCAATTATATTGTATTATTTTATTTTATTTTTTTTTAATTAATTACTGTATAAATTTTAAAAATTTAGATGGTAGGATGTTGTACATCAAGAAAAAGATATCAAAAAGTTAGAAATAGGAATGTTGAATATGGATTTGATGTTCATAATGTATAATTGATATAATTGATGCAAGATATGGGGGATAGCAATGTCATTTTAGCAAATATTACATTTATGGGATTGATATTTAAAGGCGGGATTTGGTAGATAATTCTTTATTTGTTTGTAAATTATTAATTAAAAAAATTTCATTTCAAAAATGTGCTTTTTCTTCTATTAAGAAATAAATTTTATTCAAAAATCTCAAGAAAATGAAAAAAAAAATATATAACAGAAAATCTTCAAAAACTATTCTAATGTAAAAAAAAAATATCAAATAATAAGATAATCATTCTGCTTCAGCCACAACACCAACCTGAGGAGGTCTGACAATCCTACCATTTAAGCTGTATCCGATTTTTTGTATTTCACAAATAGTTCCAGCTTCTTTACCTGGAAAAGCTGCTTGGTAAAGAGCTTCATGCAATTTTGGATCAAATTTTTCACCTAACTGCGGTTCAACCTTTTCTATACCATGACGCCTTAACGTATTTAATAATTCAGAATTTGTTAGTTCAATTCCTTTGTATAAATTAATTAGATCACGACCTGATGAAGAATCATCATTTTCGAATGTACTTCGTATTTCTGGTGGAATTGAATTAAGTGCAAAACTAAGATTATCGACGGTAGAAAGGATATCTTTTACAAATTTTTGAATAGCATATTGTGAAGTACTTTCTACTTCACGACGCGCAATTTCACGTTGATTTTCTAGTTCGGCTAAACAGCGAAGGTGTTTATCCTGTAAAAAAAAAAAAAAAAAAAAAAAAAAAAAATTATATTTCATTTTTATGAATTTTTGATCAGTGTTTAAAAAAAAAAATTATAAATTTAATGGTCTACCTTAAGTATGGCAATTTCTTTTTCTCTAAGGTCCATATCTGATTCATTATCCGTCGATTTTTCGGAAGTCTTTTCTTCACTACGATTACCATTATCATTACTATTAGTAGCAGTCTCCTCTTTATTATTTCTACCGACAGTAGTAGTTGAAAATTGAGCGAACCCATTTATATGTGAACTTTCAGGCATCTCTGTTGATTGGAAAGCAGCTGTAGTTGATGCTGTCCACGACCAACTTTGAAATGCTTGATTCTTCGATATTGTTGATGCATTTCTTGTAGCTGATAATACGGGGCGTTTGGCTAGAGAACGTGAGGCCGATATCAAAAGGTTATTACAAAATAATAATTTAAAAGGCATATCTTATGAATTTGTTTATTTTTAGATGATTTCAAACTGTTTTAAAAGATCGATTTTTTTTTTTTTCGGAAGAAAAAAGTTCACGATAATCTTTTAAAATTTATCACATGACAAATAATATAATTACTGTGTCCCATTTTTTACAACCATTTTTTATATTATAAAAAAGATATTATTTGTTATTTATTATACACTATTAAAAGAACCATATGAAATGGAACAGAAAGAATTGCAGCCAAAGTATCTTGTAATTGAGAAAATCATTTCTGCACACAGTCAAAATCCTACCATAAGATTTGAACAAACCCCAGATATAATTTAAACAGGAAGGTCAATCCTTTTTTCACAAGTAAATTCTTGGATACTTACTTAATAACTAAGTTACTTCACTGATTTGCTTTTTATTTTATTTTTTGCAATTTGGAAATTTGAAAGAATTCCGTGAATTTTATCACTAGTAATTGTAACAAAAGTAGCAAGAGATACTGAATGAAGAAAAAATATGTAAAATTTTTTGTGGATGATATACAAATACACATATCAAATGATTAAAAATTGACAAAAATTGGCTTGCCTATTTACATATTATTCACAAATCTCCCTGCCTATTTGCATATTATTCACAAATCTCCCTTCCTATTTACACAAAATTTTTCTTCATTCAACCAGTGATATCCTTATTGTACTAATAGTATGCTCCATCATATGGGTACTCATGTATGCAGTGATGAATATTGATGAATATGGAAAAGAAATGAGAAGAGTTAGACAATGGATCATAATAAAAAACAAAAAGAATTCAATTGTTTATTTATAAAATGAGGTCATAAAATATAGTCAATGAAGGTACAACTATAAAACTTCGAGAACAAAAAGAGTAAAAGCGGAAAAGGGAAAAATAATAATCATTTTCGCAGAAAAAGAGTGTTATCTCATGTGACATTTATAGCAATCATTTGATAAATTTACTATAAAGCATAAAGTTTTCAAGATCTTTTGAAGAATAATATAAAGTTTAAGATTCAATAGTGGAATCTTGAATTTCTATATCCATTACTACACATAAGTTATAAGATGTCATGTGTATGCATTCGAGTATAAAAGATGCAAGTACACTAGGTTTGAACGAGTCTTGATACCACTGTGCTTCACGTAGACATTGTAAATACACATCCCGCGTTTTCGTTCCTATATATAAAGAAAATGGTACTACAGTGAATCTTATTAACAGATAATTCAAAAGTAATCTCGCTACTTTTCCGTTTCCATTTATAAAAGGATGAATTAGTAAGAAATAGGAGAGAAAGCATTCCGTCCTTTCAAATTTCTCTCTACATTGACGGAGTAATTCATTCATTCTGTTCTCTATTAAATCCGGTGCTAAATACATAAGGTTATCTTGTGCTGTCATAACAAATCGCGTTCTATATTGACCTGCATTGTTAATCAATCCGTTACCAATTTGTCGATGCAATTGTTGCGCAAACGAAGGCGTAAAATATTCTATTGAAAGATTCGGAAAGAAGACAGGTGGGAAAGTGTTGGTGATAACTTTGTGGATATTTTGAACTTTTTTAGCCAAAGATAGAGATCTATCGGGTATGAAGCATTTCGTAAAAATTTTTCTGCAAGACCAATTCAAGAACATTTTTATTTTATGAAACCAGGATTTCTTTAATGACTTATGTACAAAGTCAATAGAGAGGTTGACATCACTTTCAGAAGAAATACATTCGAGTGCGTAATTTTCATAATGAAAGGTCAATGTATCCCTTCCAAAATAACGCGTCATTTTTGTTAACCGCTAGTGATATAGCTTTTTGGAGGTGTTCAATATTTAAAATAAAATATTTAACATCACGTTCATCAATAGAATTTCTCCGCCAAGGTTTATTCAAAATATCAAATTTGGAATGTAAAAATTCATATGAAATCGTATTATTTCCTTTAGATAATTATAATAATTATGATAATTATGTAATTATGATAATTATGTTATTATGATAGATATCAATTACGACACGTTCATCAGCATCAGACATATGATTTTAGTAGTCACACGATTGTATTTTGATTATCTTGCCCAAAATCTATACTTTTTATCCATAAAGATGTTTAGACGATACTTACATTCTTTCAATCCATTTTTCGAACCGTTTCCACGTCACAGTCCACATTTTCCATCACAAAGTAATTCGCCAACTGCACTTTCCCAATGGTCACCTCAAAGACGTCCAATTCGATTGTTTCATGGCAAGTTTATAATTGAAATTTGAGTAAATTGATTATGGAAATGTATGATTTTAAAAAATTTTAACTTCCAAAATTTAATTTATTTAGCCACACAGAGGGTCAAGTCATTGGACCTTATCACTTCGCCGTTTATGAATCCTAATCCTACTGTCAATATATCTGTTGAATCAAATGCATCAAAATCACAATTGTTATCAGTAGACAATAATCAACTTGATAATCCACTTGTAGCGTATAATCGCAAATTGGATTTCTGTAGACGTAATTCAAGATATCTTGCAATAAAAGGGATTTGTGAAGAGATGCAACAAACTAAAATAAAACCAGATTTACAGACATATAACATATTGTTATCGTCTTATGAACCACTTGGTGATGTACCTTCATCTTTGAAATTGTTGGATGATATGGCTCTGGCTGGTATAACTCCTGATTTGACGACTTATCATATTTTATTGAGGGTAATTAAGTGTAAACAAATAAATTTATGTTTAATTCAAAATAAATAAATAAATAAATAATTAATTAATTAATAATAATAATAATAATAATAATAATAATAATCATTTAATTGAAATTATTTTCTTATTAATTATTAATATTAAGACATGCGCAAGTGCTCCTCGCATCTCCCAAGACGCTCATTTTCGGGAACTTATTTTTGATTTGATTCACAATGCAAATTTAAAATTAAATACTATTACTCATGAATGTTATCTAGAAGCTTTGGTAGCTAATGGAGAACTTGAACGTAGTATTGAATATATAGAAAATCTAAGGAAGAAAAATATTCAACCAACTGTTAAAATGTATGATAATTTAATTCAATCAGCAATCTCATTAGATATATCTGAAGAAGCATTCAAACTACTTAAGATGGCGGAAGAAGATCAGTTGCCACTTTACGTAAATTTGTATTTTGAAGTATTGAGAGGCTGTTCAGATGATTATAATGTGAGTTAATGAATGTTCATCTTATTATTTTCAATGTTCTTTTATCTTTTTAAATTTTTTTTTCCCGAACCAACTATGAATTATATAGATAGAGGGTGTACATTATTGTTGGAATAAGATTATAGAGAAAAATTTTACAAACCTTGATGAAGGCGCTTGTATTGATGCTTTAAATGTTGCTGCCAGATTTGGTAAACCACAACTTGCAGCACAGATAATCGTTTATTTAACTGAACATCGTAAAGTATCTTTAGAATCTCATCACCTCGAGCCACTTTTAGAAGCCTTTATTGGTGATAATGATCTCAAACAAGCTATGGATATGCTTTCAATAATGCGTTCAACTGGACTTGAGGTCAATATCAAAACTGCATCTCCCATTATTGATGTCATTCACACTGATCCCGAGATGATTGACAAAGCATATTTTGCTTTAGAATCACTTCGTAAAGAGGGAAAACCAATCGATATAGTAGCCTTTAATGCTATTATCATTGCTTGTCGAGATATTCGCCCGAAGTCCAGAGTAGGAGGAGTTGTCAATTCTGATGATCCTGGAACGAACAAGAGGTTTACATCTAATGCTGATCTTCATCGTGCTGTAGAAACTTATAAAGCAGCTGAAAGTTTAGGGGTCAAACCGGATGTTCATACTTTCAATGCATTGTTAAATGTTTGTGTTGCTGCACAACATCGAGAATTAGGTGAACAATTCTGGAAAGAAATGAAAGAAAAGAACATAAGGCCAACAATCGAATCATATCGTCGTATGATATTCTTAGCATGTTCACAGATTAGCGATGATTATGAAGATGCTTTCATTTACCTTGAAGAAATGAAATCACAAAATATGTTACCTCCTCCTTCTGTTTATGAACGCATCGTTAAAAAGTGTGTTCAGCATGATGACGCTAGAGCTAAAATAGCATTAGAAGAAATGAATAATTTTGGATACAAACCTTCTCCCGCCCTTCGGGATTTGTTGAGGTATGAACAAGGGTCTCGTAATCTAGACAATCAATCTTTTGATAGACAACGTAGACGGAGTCCCGGGTATTATGAGGAAGCTAAAGGAACTGGGCAAGAAAGCCCATTAAAAGCAATTGATACCAAGATTGAATTGAATGATCTGGATCAATTTTTCAGCGCCATCACGAAATCAAAAATTACAAGGAAATAAAATAAAATTTAATAATTTAATACAAATTCTTATCATGTAAATAAAAAAAAAAAAGCGATATTTATTTAATTCAACGCAAATAAATTCAAGAATTATTAATAAAAATTTTTTTTTGATACATGTTAGAAATCTACAATGTAAATTAATATAATAACGAACTAATATTATAAACATAATATTGGAATTATGTTAACCGAGACCTCCCCAGACACCACGAATCCTACGAGCAAGTTGAATATCTTTCTGCATTATTGTGACTCGTTTAGCGTGAATTGCACATAGATTTCTGAATTAATTATTTTAATTAATTTTAATTTTAAATATAAAAAAAAAAAAAAAGTAATAGAGTGATAATATTATACATACGCGTCTTCAAACAAATGAACGAGATATGCTTCCGTGGCTGTGAAATATAACACGATACGCGTAAAGAGAATTAAAAAAAAAATTAATTCTGAATTAATTATATGAATTTATCGAGAAATAAATTACCTTCTTGGAGTGCCAAGATCGCAGTTGACTGCCATCTATAACCTATTTCTGGACTTGGTCCCAGAACTTCAAGTGCAATTTCTCGAACCTATTATTAAATCAACAAATTAAGATTATAATAATAATCTCAATGATAAAGTAGAATAAATCAACCTCAGATATCCTTAGTTATCTTTTATATAAAAGAAAAAATGTACTAACAACGCGTGAAAATGGTAATTTTCTTAATAAGAGTTGAGTGGTTTTTTGATATTGTCGAATTTCACGTAAAGCTACTGTTCCTGGACGATATCTTCGTGATCTAGTAGGTCTTATTGGATCTCCAGCTAAATAAAGATTTAAAAGATTTAAAAGATTTAAAAGATTTTAAAAGATTTTATATAAAAATATGTCATTATCGATAAAAACCTTAAAAATATTTTCTTTTGACTTACGTCTAGACCTTGGAGTAGAACTCGAAGATCTAAGTGATTTTTTACTCGTTGTCAATCTACGTTTTGTCAGTCTAGCGGAAGCGCGGGCCTGTTGAGGATTTCTAGCCATTACTTTTTAAGTTTCATAGAATTCTAACACGCGTTTTCTTAACTTTTTTTGTAAATGTTGTACAATTAGACATTGTTTGAACAGACAATCTTATTCGATGAAAACCTTGTGATTTATTTTTTCTTAATTATAATTATATGACTTTGTAAGATAATCGTATTCAATGAGAACCTTGTAATTTAATTATAATTATATGATTTTGTAACATTTGAACATATCCAAATTATAATAAATATAAAAAATATTATACACTTGAGTAGAATTATTTGTATTTTATATTTTTATATTACAAAAATTTTTATATACATATACAGAAAGCATATATATATATAATCAATAAAGAAAATAAAGTCTACATAAATATAATATATATATATTTATAATAAAATTGTCGGATGTAAAGTAAAAGAATAATAAAAAAGAAAGAAAACTGATAACAATATCTGAGCTATTATTAAAGTAAGTTCACTTATTCATGTGAAAAGGATGAATTAATTTACTATTCGTTTCTTTTACTCTTTGGCTTTTAGCAAAGCTTGCTTTATTTGTTCATTGGTCGGTTCTTCATTTTGGTACCATGAAGCTGTATTAAATGTGTATAGAAAAGAATAAAAAATTGTAAAAATTGTAAAAAATTGTATATATTAAAGTACAAATAATAATTGAATAAATATAAAATATACATACAAACTAAACCAACATTCTGGGGCCCTTTCACGGCTATTACTTCGTCTGCTTCTCTCATAAATATTTTCTATTAAATTAAAAAAAAAAGAAATAAAAAAAAAAAAACCATAAATTTAGAAAATAATTAGAAGTGTAAATATAAATCAAAGAATAGTAATAATATCATCGAAATACTATCTTTACCTGAGCATCAGACCCAATTACACCAGCAACCAATACAATTCTCCCACGATAACCCATACTTTTCAACAATCTAATAGCACAACGTGCATTCTGGCCAGTTTGGATACCATCAGTGGCAAGTAATACAGTAGCATTCTCCGAATTTGATAATGGATAATTTGGTGGATTAAATTGATGTTTTAATGTTTCTAATTGGATGCGCTAAATATTATTTAAAAAAGAGAGAGTACGTGTGTAAAAAAAAAAGGAAGAAAGAAAAGTGAATTTAAAGTATGACACCAAGTTTCTTATTAAGATGATTTACCTCTTGATTAACTATCTCGGAAAGTTGTTGCTGTGTAATATCGCATCCCCTAACAGGAAAAAAAAGAGTTAAATAAATGAAATGTTTAATTTGTGGTATGCAATATTATTAATTTGGAAAGTACCTAATAATTTGTTCATTTTGCAACGGATTATCAGTTCTATCTGTAATAGCACCAATAGTCAGACCATCAATTTTTAGTGTTCGAATAAGGAAAAGATCAAGTGGTAATTTTAGTTCTTTAGCTAGTTCGTATGCAAGGAGAGTTGCTGTTGGTTTTATGGAAAGAACAACTGTTCATATGATATTTTTAATTCAATTATATATATTTAGAATTTAATTTAATATATTGTGAAAATAAAAATTATTATTATTTTTTTTTTTTAATAAAAAATTCCTACTGGTATTTTCTTTTTGAGCGTAATATTTCAACAATATAGCCAAAAGTTCTCCAGCTTCTTCTCTGGACGCGAAACATGGTTTTATTACGTTAGATAATGAAGACCTTTTATATTGACCATTAACACCATTAACACCATTAACACCATTAAGATGTCCTGAAGATAAAGGTTTTTCAGCAAGCATTTTTTATGTGAAAATAAATTTGAAATAATTTGGGAGAATTAAATGTAAATTGTTAAAAAATTGAGAAAAAAGTTGAGACAAAGCGTTATATTTATATTAATGAAAGATGAATATTTCCTTGTGGTACAGGCCGATGAATAAGAAAACTTTAGATAAGATAACTTAAGATTTACTATAATAGGTTAAATATGTTATCATAATTAATAATGAAAATCACGTCACATGCGTTCTATTGTTACACTATAACAGAACAATAGTTCTAATAATTTCTCTAAAGAACAAAGAACGACCTAACCTAACGTTTTGGAGTTATCTCCGAAATTCAAATAAAAAGAGTTCAATTTTTTATATGAGAAATCTGATTTCGTTTAATGGGATCATTCGTTTATCAAAAGTCATGTCATGCTGGTAACTGTGAGAATAAATTTAACAAAACAAGATCATCTTGCATGACGGATAATCAAGTAAGATCAAATTACATCATTACATCATTATTATTAAAATTTTATATAAGTATTACGCAAATTTTCAACGAAATTTATAACGAAATTTATCTTATCAAATAAATTGTAAGGATGTGGCAAATGAATAAAATTATTGGTCCAGCAAAAATTTTTAACTATCCTTGTTATACGAAAATACACTGCAGTAGCGTTTTTCAATTTTGAATATAAATAGACAAGGGCAACCATATAAGCAAAAAAATATTATTGATGATACAGGACAAGGGGGTACTCTTTTCAATAAAGCATTTTAATTGGATGTTTATTTATTCCTTTGTATATACAACAAAATTGGAAAGAATACGTCCCCACTAAAATAGAGGGGTAAGTTTATCCTAGACCCAGGGTCTACACTCACAATTGCATGTATCACGTGTTGGCCACTTTAAAAAAAAATATTTATATAGGTTGTTGAGATGAAAATCTGGGTCTATTTTCTACACCCCGTTCAGGCTTTTTATCAGAAGTCATATTTTTTCCTTTGACAATCACTTTATAAATTACAAATCGGAAATAATTCATGACTATTATCACATAAACTCTTTTATTTTAATAAATGTCAAAAATGGTACTAAGTAACTTTAAATATAAGAATGAATTACATATTATATAAAAAGGACAAATCTATTTTATCAAAATTGAGAGAAAGACTCGCAGTTAAAGTTCGAACGGGCGAAAAAATTTTAAAACGAGAATCATTCGCTCAATTTTGATGAAATAGGTCTGCGCTCTTTACAAAAGATGCAGTTAATTTTTATCTTTGAAGTTACCTAGTACTATTTTTGACATTCACATAAAAATAAAAAGCTTTATACGTAGAAACCGTAGAAACGATCGATAATTTTGTAAACAATTATGTTATATAATTATAACATAAAATCGTCGATCGTTGCTACATATAAAAAGTTTTATTTTAATAAGTAAACGTCAAAACGATACTAAGTAACCTTAAAGATAGGAGTTAATTGTACACTATATAAAAAGGACAGACATTGTCATTTTAAATTTTTTTCACCCGTTCGAACTTTAACCGCCAATTGTTCTCAATTTTACTTATATAGATTTGTCCTTTTTATATGTAATTCATTCTTGTCTTTAAGTTTACTTAGTTTGGTTTTTGATATTTATTTATTAAAATAAAAATTTTATATGTAACAACAATTATGAATTCATTTCCGATTCTTATATTGTTACAAAAAAAAGTAAATATTATATCGCATAACATTAAAATATTTTATTGTCATGTGTTCATGAGATAGGTCTCGATTTTGAAAAGGGAAATTTAATCTGTACGTGAGAGTATAGACTTTTATCGTGTACCGCAATAATTAAAGTAATTCCAGCCGAATTTAATTATTAATCTGAACAACTTTACTTAGTCAATTGAGATAGTTTATTTTGATTAAAGTACTGAAAAATAACACTTGAAATCTTTGTATAAAGTATATATACATATATTTAAAATTCTATGAATTATAATATATGAATGAAATTTTTATTTAAATTAATGTGTTGTAAATACTTTCAAAAATGATTAGTTCTAAAGAAAGAAAAAGAAAGAAAAAGAAAGTCGAGCTCTATCTTCTGTTAATTAATAATAACTACAAGAAATAACAAAAATAAATAACTACAAAAATAAATAATTAAGGAATCATTTCCTTTTTAATTATAATAAATAAAATTAAATAATTTAAAATTAAATTAATTGCCAATTTTAAAGTGTAGGACTTGGTATCGTGACATTAATATTAATTATTTTTTCATTCTTGTTCTCGAAATTCAAATATCGATCAACTCCAAATTCTTTTAAGTCATCAATTAATTCATCATCTGTGTCATCATTTATATTAGTAGTAGTTGATTTAGATGATGATGACTGTAAATTTGATGATTGTAAATTTACTAAACTAGAAGAATGATGATTTAAATAAAGTCCATACACTTTTTTATTCTTTTCAACATTATTTGATGATAATGGGATTCCTTTATAATTACTAGAATTATTTGTAAAATTATCATCACAACTCAAAGAACGTCTGTGTTCCTTATTTAGAATATTATTTCCCGTTAAAAATAATTTGGGAACAGGCAAACTATCATTATTATAAATGTTATTAATGCTATCATTTTTGGTCGTCGTATCGAAATTGATATCGACACCACGTAATCGAGGACTACTTGGAGCACTTTGAATTTCAGGTATTGAATGTGGAATATCATCATCTTCATCCGTCATATTAAGATACCAACTTGCTCTACCGGTACGTGTGGTATATAAATCACTTATTCTTGATGAATTACTATTATTATTTGTTGTTGAAGTTAGAGACAAAGTCATAGTTGAGGTTTTATCGGGTGTCAATGATGACATACTTTTATTCGGTCTTAATCTTGAAGATAAAACGTGAGGAATTTCAAGAAATGATGATGATGATGTATCGTGATTTCGATCATTATTGGTAGAAGAGTTCAAGTAATTTATTGAAAGATTTGAAGTAGAATTATTATTATTATTATTATTATTATTATTATTGGAAGGAGTTGATGATGATGATGGTGGTGGTGGTGATGATGAACGTAAATTTGGTGACGATTCACTGCGTAGTAATAAACGTCCAAGTGCTTGGGCAAAGGAACGTTGACTTTTCTTTTGTCGTAGGGGTGGTTGAAGTTCTAAAAATGAAGAATTTCCAATATTACTTCCATTATTGATATTATTGATATTATTGATATTATTGATATTATTGATATTATTGGTGGTGTTGCTGTTAGGAGAAAAGGATAAATAATCTGGATACGTAGGCCTCAAATCCTCAGAATAATTAATAGGAGTAGAAGGACGCGTATTGCTTCTTGATTGATTTCTAGAGGGAGGGTCCGAATAGATTTCGCTTTCGCTATTTATTAAACTACTTGGAGTGTGTGGACGGGAGTATACATTGTTAGCAGAATAATCCACAGTTGTTGGATCATCCAATAAAGCATCATCATAAGAAGGTAATCCCGCATAATTATTTCCATTGTATAACAAATAATCACCTTCTTCAGGTATAGTAGTGACAATCACGGGAAATCCAAGTTCAAGTCTTTTTTCGGATTCATTTTCAAAATTGATTACTAATTTCAATTTATGACGAACTTTCATTAAAGGAGATTTTATAGTAGATTTTAAATGATTCTTTCGATTTAAATTAGCTAAATTAGAATTTGAAGAATTTCTATTGTTATTGTGTTTATATTGTGAAAAGGGAAGATTATAAATTAATGGATTATTCCAAGTGTCATCATCATGAGGGATATTTAATATGGTTGATTTTATGGGATGAGAACGTTTTCGTTTTGTAGATGATGAACCACTTAATTGTACGTTTCCTAATAGTTGAGTACTATCAATAGAGAATTCTGCCAAATCTTGTGAAGTTGGTTGGATTCTAAATTATTATTATTATTATTATTATTATTATTAATTATTATTGTTATTATTATTATTTGTTATTATTATTATTATTATTATTATAAATAATGTCAAAAAATGTAAAGGAAATTAGTAATAATTACCTATATTTTTCGGATTGAATTAAATCAAAAGATATTTTTTTAACTCTTCCTTGATCACATAATGGATTTAATCTAACTCTGATTAATAAACTCTTTTCATTTACGCATATTACAGTTGGTATATCTAATTCATATTTCAATATTTCTTTTCGTTGACCTCTATAAACTTTTGTAGGTGGAGCAGGTAATAATTCACGTCTGCAAGGTAAATAATGTCTAGCAAAATGAATTCCTCGTTCAACTCTACTATATTTTGCCAATAATGAAGCAGGTTGTACTAAAGCTACCAATTTATATCGAATCAAACCAAAACTAGTGACATAGGTTTGAGGGATATTACCAGGCACCGAGAATTCAAAATCTAAATCTGAGACACCACACGGAATAGTAACTCTCTCCACCAATGTTTGATCTAATTTCAATACATTTATACAAGAATATTGATTCTCCCAATCCGAATATTCAGATTTACCTTTTAATTTCATAATAATTTGTTTTATTTTAATAGATTTCGATAATACGATACGTAGTTTGCCAGAAACTACATGAAAGGTATCTTTGTTAGGAGCACCGTACATTATTAACTTGCCATCATTATCAGGTAATATATCTACTGCTATAATACTATTGTTCATGATGACCGAATTTTTTTTATTAAAATTTTTATTAAATTATTTATAATTATTTAAGATATTTTAAATTTTTTTTTGAATTTCTCGGAAATTCTTATAAGATTAAATGAAAAAAATGTAAATTAAATTAAATGTATATGGAATTTTATTGAATTTATATTAAATTTAAATTAAATATGTATTTATTAGAACACATGTATGCAAGATAAATAATTTAAGAATTAATAAAGAGAAAAAGAAAGAGAATATTTTAATGAATTCAAAATTAGGTAATATTTATAAGAATATTATTATTATTTACTATTAATAATATTATTTATTATATTGTTATAATATTATTTATTATATATATATAGTATAATGTTATTTATTATATATATATAGTATAATGTTATTTATTATATATATATAGTATAATGTAATATAAAAATAATAAACCAACAACGAGTACCAAATATGGTTAATTAATTAATATAATTAATAGATAAACAATACAATGAATATCTAAAATTAGAATAGCATTTTTTTTATCATTTTTATACATATTTGGAAAAGAAAATAAAACCACTACTTTACCTATTTTCGTTTTTCGTTATGCGCCGCTATTTGCTATTCGTTATACTAAAACCAATATCCTTTTTTCACGTTATGTATTTATATAATAATAAATAATAAATAATAAATAATTTTTTTTTCCTTTAAAAAAATACAAATGTACTTATTTAAGCAAAAGATTATAAAAAACGAACAATTATGTAGAGAGCATTGTTATTACATGCATTAGAAAATGATTTTATATCTTTTTTTTTTTTTTTTTATTTCATTTTTATTAACTTTGATTAACCAAACATAATACAATAAGAACAAAATAATAATAGTAATAATAAAAATACAAATAATAATAATAATAATAATAATAATAATAATAATTTGATATAAATAATATATGTTATTTATTATTATTTCACAATGAAACAGTTCCTTTCTAAAAAAATAATACAAAATAATTAATTTCAAAATACGATTTTAACAAATTTTAACCAAGTTTTAACACAAAAAATAAATTAAAATAAATTTAAACTTACCACCAAATGTTTGACGCTTTCAATAACAAAACTTAATTTATATTTTTGAAATTCAGCACTTCTCAAACTATTATTTATAGAACCAAAATATTTGTCACAACCTGGAACGAAACGTAATATCACGGATAAATCATGATCAGGTGGTGATTGCTTTGATAAAGTGTAGACACCAGAATGCCCTAATGCTGAAAAAAATAAAAATAAAAATATCAAAGAAATATTAATTATATATATATAATTACCTTAAAGAAAACACTTGCTTTAATTCTTTAACTCACAACAATAAACAATTAATCACCTTTAATTAAATCTGAATCTGTTGTATAAATTCCTGTACCCCAAGCGGTTTTCATAGATGCGTATGAAAAAGTAAGATATTGTGATGAGACATGCATCTCGACTGCTTCACCAATTTCACCTTGAATTTTTTTTTTTGTTGGATAAGTCAATACTCGACGATTATTGTTCTCAATAATATTAGTTGCAGTAGAATCTTGATTTGATTTTCGAGACTTTTCGATTGCTTATGATTTGATTAATTTAATTTGATTAATTTGATTGATTAATTTAATTTGATTAATTTGATTAATTTAATTAATTTGGTTAAGTTCATTAATTTGATTAATTTGATTAATTTGATTAATTTGATTAATTTGATATTAATTCATTTCACAACTTCAATAAATAACTCGAAATTCTGATAATTACAATTTATAATGTCACGAGTTACTTGATCAATAAGTTTTGGTAAATTTTCACTGAACCATTGATGTAATATTGTCTCTGCAGAATTTATAATTTTGTCGTCAGATTCGTACTATAAAGGATTCAATGGAATTTAAATTTTAGAATTTAGAGAGTTATAGAATCTAAAGAATTCACAAAGTGAATACTGGGATTATATATTTTATTTTTTTACAAATTATCATTAATTTACCTTTGTCAACTCAAAAGAATTTAATTGATTTTTATTCTTTGATTTTATGACTAAACTAAATTTTACGCATTGATTATCTTCCAATGTATTTAAGACATTCGAAAGTTCATTATCTGATGATACAGATATCTCGTCTCCTTCATGATCCAAATAATTTAACATAATTCCATCTTGGGAATTAATCGAAAAAGCTGATTTGATCTAATTTATTTAAAAAATTATTTTTTTTATTAAAAAGGAGTGAGCGAATGAACGAAAATGAATACTTTATATAAAATAAATACAGACGTCATTTTCTAAATCGTGCCATTTGATATACGATGATATTGTCAGTTTCCTTGTCTCGTCGTTGAATAAATTGCGAACTTTTATGTCTACCGTTCCTCCTCCCATGATTTATTTGATTTATATTTGATTATATTTGATTTATTATATATTCTCTTGAATAAAAATTATTAAATTTATAACAATATAAATTTTAAATATGCAACCAGTATTTATTATTTTTATTATTATCGTTTATATTATTTATTTACTATTTATTTATTATTTATTTATTAATTGTCTCGAGAATTAAATAATATTAAATGTATTAAATGTTGCACCCGTAAAATGAACCATACACAAAATATAAAAAAAAAAAATTATTAACAACTCTAATTAATGAATTACAAATATTACAAAATGTCTTTAAAGTCTTCACAATTCCTTCTTTTCACTTTAAATTAACAAAAAAAAATTGCCTGTTTTTCATAACATCATTTAACCTTGTGGTATGTTGAAGTAATTACTTATTTACTATTTAATGAATATAAGGTAATCATTGGTTAACTTGATAGGATAAATGAACTTTATTAATTTGACTTGAGACTATACTAAAATATAAGAAAACATAATATTATTTAATTATTCTAAATGAACATACACAATTTCGCTTTTATTATTTTTTTTCTTCACGATGACTCAAGTTTACCTCTTTTCCAAAGATTATTGTTTCAAATTAGTAGGTTGAAAATCAAATTCTAATAATACTTACCCTATATGTCTCTTTAGAAGGGAAGACAATGTACGTTTCTTTATTATGTAAATTGTGGTATAATAATCTCTGAAAAATAAACTTAATTGAAGAGTTACTTTCAGAAGCTGTAGAAAATGATAACTTTATAAAAATCTCCTACAGCAATTGTTTGTACATGATCAACTTGATTAATATACCCAAAAATAAGAGCGTAAGAAGAAACATATTCCGTTAGTAAAGAATAATCTTGCTTGTAGCATTCCAAGATGATTTTGGTATTACGTTAGAAATATTAATATAAGTATAATAAAGATGTTTGTTCGAATAACTAGAAAAAGCATCGGCTCTTCATATCTAAAAATTCATCGATAAGAAACGAGATTTAATAAATTTTGTGCGCCAATAGAAGCAGAAAGTCATTTTAATTCTCTCTTCCTACCTTCCGAAAAATCTCTTCCCGTTCTTCGTTAGTAAAATAAATAAAAAAAAATCAACAAAATCAATGTAACCACCAACATTATTTGATAAATCAAGAAGAAGCTATAATGAATTATTTAATATATTTAATATATATTACAATTACATCCATATTAATAAAATAAAAACATTTACCTTCTTTAATGTTTTTAAATTCTTTTGAGATTCATCTTTTTCTGATATAATAGTAGATTGATAAATTAGAGAATTTTATCAATCCTAATGATTTCATGATTTCATATGTATAACGAAATTTTACAATAGATAAAAACGGATATTTGTATTTTTAAATAATTTATTCGTTTTTATTTTATATCTATTTTTATTTATTATAAATTTTCGAGTATAGGAAAATTGATCTGATGCTATTTATTTCGAGTCTTATTCACGTACCATACTCGTCAACATCAAATGCTTCTTTACTATAAAGAATGTTATTCCATTCAATGGCTTAAGGCCACGTAGGCCTGACATGAATTGCCGCGCCTCACTTCTTATTGACAAAATTCCTAATATTGGAAAATATTTCAAATATTTTTTATTTAAATTATTCAACAGAGAAAATAGAGGCAGAGGATATAAAAAAACCCTCGCCGGTTGGAATAACATGCATATTTTATTAATTATAATTCATCATCAATAAGAGTTTGATATTAACAAACTTGCACTTTTTATTTATATATGTTATCGTTGCCTCTGATTAAAACTGGCCAAAGTTAAGGTTGGAATTTAAAAAGATCTACATAGGCCGTAGTTATAATTATGGTCAATCTGTGACATCTGCATCTATATAAGAAAAGTGATACAACAATTATGGAAATCTTGAAAAGAAAAAAATCAAAATTACAATCACCATTTTCTTTTTTAACTTATCATTCTTATTTGTTCACATTTTTGACCAATTTATTTGATAGATTTTTTATTGAGATATTTAAAAAAAAGTTATTTTAAATTTTAAACAAAAACAATGTAAAAAACTTTAAATATACTAAATGAATTTTCAAAATTATTACATATATTATTTCAATATTAATTAATATAACATTTCCATTATTTAATATTTAGTTTAGTCAAATAATAGCTAGTTTGTATCAGGAACTTAAATTAATTTTATTATTTCAGAAATTACTATCAATTTTAAATATTATTGGTTATACAGAATAGAGATAATTAACTTAACTCAATCCAACCATATAAAACTTCAAACTTCATCATAATTTTTAAAATTCTCATTCTCTCTCTCTTTCTCTCTCTTTCTCTTTCTCTTTTACTTTCTCTCTTTTTTAAAAAAAAAACAACCAGAATTTTCAATTTATTATAAAAATATCATAATAAAAAATCATTCTTTATTATACAAAATCAATTTAAAATTAAATATAAAACCATTTACCTTTAAATATTAAAAAATAATTATTCAATAAATTTTATAATTGTGCCAGCCAATCAGAATTGCATCAGAATTTAACATTTGCATTAACTAATCAGAATTACACCAGAATTTAACCTTTACACTAGCATTTAACCATTGTACCCAATTGTGCCAAAGCTAATTCCTGTATTTAATTGGCTAAATTAAATCTGACTAAATTCCTAGCTCAATTAATATTGTATCTCCCATTTCTAATACAGAATAGTATAAACAATAATTAGAAAAATGAAGAATAATAAAGATTAATCTAATAGAAAGATTATGAAAAGGTTCAAATATTTGGAATATTAATATTATTGACAACATTGATTTTAAGGAATGAATTTTTAAATAATGATAATATATTTGATTCTACTTGTGATTATATATATTTTCAAAATTGATTTTGAATTTTTGATATATTTTGTTCCTTTAAACTTTATGCAAAATCTAATCTATATAAAGAAGTAAAAAGTACCTAATCAAGTGTATTTTTAATCAACATTAAAAAATTTTCACTTCAAATATATACAGATATATTTGTAATTAATAAAAATTGAATATATGCAAATATATTTAATATAATATATGAATTAATATAAATAAATATAAATTAATATAAATTAATGTAATTTATATAGATAAATACATGAGTAATCAAATATATCTAGATATATTTACCTTCAAAAATTTCCTGATGAAAGAATAGAAATCAAGTTTTAAAAATTTTATCTTTTATATAAAATAATTTCATCTTCTATAAAAAACTATTTTAACTTTTGAGTTTCAAAATATTTTAATTTATTACAGTGCAAAATCCCTATAATAGAAACTTAGAAAATCTTAAATAAAATTTAATCCAATGATCTTATTTTTTTATATTATAATACTTGAATATATATATTTATGGAAAAAAATTTTTTTTTAATTTTTTCAATTTAAATAAACATAATATAATACAATTTAATTAATCAAAATTTAAGAAAATATATTTATATGATTATAAAAATTATTTAATTTAAAATTATAATTATTTTATTTTAAAGATTTAAAATTATTTAATTAATTAAAATTATACTTGCATACAAAATTATTTTGAAACCTTAAAATTGTAATTTTGAAGAAAAAAGGTAAAATAGTTTTTTATAGAAGACAAAATTATTTTATTTAAAATCTAAAATTTTTTAACTATTTAGATAAATTTTTTGATTAAAAATATACTTGATTAAATATTTTTTTTACTTCCATATATAAAATAAATTCTAAATAAATCTCAAAAAATAAAATATTTCAAAAATCAGAAATCAATTTTAAGAACATTTATAATTAAAATTTTTCCATGTCATATGTATAGTATTTCAATTTCATAATAACATAGTAAAATGATCTAACTTTATAAGCTAATAACTTGAATAAAAATAAAATTAAAAAAATTTTAACTAATAATTTTGAAAGTTGAAATAAAAATCTATTGAAATTATTGATTAGAATTTTTAAATATTTATGATTAATCATATGTTATAATGGTTTAAAAAATCTATTTTTTTTTCTATTATAGAAGTTTTGCATCTGTATAATAATCTATTTTATATAAAAGTATACTTGTAATATTTTTTATATAACCTTGAGAATAATATTACAAATTAAAATATCATTTTTGTAAATAAAAATTTGAAAGATAAAAATAAAATTACTTTACTAGTGAACTTTTTAGTTTAAATAATTTAGTAAAAAATATATAAGATATATTTGATAAAATCATAAATAAACTTCTTGATTTTAATATAGAAGAAATTCTCTATAATAGAAATTTTAATATACAAATAATATATAAAAAAATATTAGGAAAAGTAAAATATAATTGTTTAAAATATACTTGAATATAAAATTATTTTAGAGTTCCGAAATTACAATTTCAAAAAGAAAAAGTTAAAATAGTTTTTCATAAAAGATGAAATTATTTTACTTAAAACCTGAAATTTTTTAACTATCCAAATAAATTTCTTGATTAAATATATATTTAACTAGATATTTTTTTTATTTTTATATATAAAGTAGATTCTGAATAAATTTTAAAAAAATAAAATATCTCAAAAATTAGAAATCAATTTTGAGAACATATATAATTTGAAAGATTCACCAAATATAGTGATATTAGAATCAAACAGGATTTTTAATTCAAATTAAAAAATATTTTAATTAATAAAAATATATGTAAAAGATTTAAATTTAAATAAAGAAGAATGTACTTGCACCCAAAATTATTTTGGAGTTCTAAAATTACAATTTTAAAAAAAAAACAAAATAGTTTTTTATAGAAGACAAAATTATTTTACTTAAAACTCAAAATTTTTTAACTACCCAAATAAATTCTTTAATTAAAAATACACTTAACTAGATATTTTTTTACTTCTATATATAAAATAAATTCTATGTAAATCTCAAAAAGATGAAATATTTCAAAAATTAAAAATCAATTTTGGAAACATG